TATCTACATCTAATTCCTCTACCCACATTTGTACATCATTAAGACCTGTTTCAAAATTTGTATCAAAAGTATTCACCCTCCCTTTGGTAATATATTATGGAAATGTCGTTTCACAGGTAAAAAATATTGCATATTTAACCGATTTTAAGAAACAGATTACAACTGACACAATCAGAGATAATGTTGAGTTGAATTTTACGTCGCATCGGCATTTTTCCAGCCATATGAGTCGTTTTAAAAAAATGTCAAGATTTGGTTCTCATGAAATGACAAAATGAAATGATTGAAAAGTTATTTTTTTTAATTCTCTAAATGGCATCATATGCTATTGCTCTTTCTAAATATAACAGAACTCAGCCTTAATTGCAATTATTTTTTTTTTTTGCTTTCACGAATTACCAATTTACATGTCTTTCCCGTAACAACACATAGATGATGTAACATGTTATAAAATATGATATTTCTAGCAATATTGTATGACAGACATGAAGATCAGCTTAGATTGTATGTATATCCACATAAATGTTTGAATTTGCATTGATTTCTTTGCTCAAATAGATTTGTATGCATACTTTTCATAAAATAACACATAGAAGAAAGTTTCCATTTTGGATTTTTCAGCAAAACTTCACCCAAGAAAATGTTTTATTACATCAATGGTAATGAAAACATTCATACTTTATATGCAATGTTTTTAAATCAATATGATTCGTTAAAACCTTAAAATAATATAAAAAATATTGTTGTTACGGGAAAGATATGTTTGTTACAGGAAAGACAAAAATGTCGATTAATAATGTTTTTCACATAATATGAACATCAATATATTGAACCAAAAGTGTAGTTTACACAGGTTTACACCTAAGAATATATACTAAGCAGCAAAAGAAACGTCAGTTTGGAATTTTCCTTCGCAGAAACGGATAACTGTAAACTCATTTAATATTTTGATTGTATATTTTTACAACATCTCCAACAGCAAAGACATTCCTTCCCAAACACAGAATGGAACCCAGGAAATGGTCTCAAAAACGCAACCTGATCTCGTAGATGGTACGGTGTTCTCCATGTTTTTCATGCAACTCATGCTGCACGTGCTGTTCACAAGGCCCAGCCCTGTAAAACGCACCCCCAAACCTGGTTGAAACTTTCACATTACAACGTCAGCAGGATGCCGCGACTCACGACAGCTGAGGAACCAGGCGCTAGGAAGACTTGAAGCTGGCCACACTGCACAAGCCGTTGCCAGTCACTTCCAGGTCATCTACAGGCTGCAGCAACGTTTCCGGGCCACCAACACCACAATTGATCGCCCCTGTACTGGCAGACCAAGGGTGACCACAAGACGACAAGACCGCCATGTTGTGCGACAGCATGTACAGAATCCCTTCATGCAGGCATCCGAAACAGCACGCCAGACAGCGGGAACCTCCATTGCCGTAGACCTTACCGTGGACCTATCCTCACCCCTCGTCATCGGCGTGAACGTCTACAGTTTGCCCTACAACACCAAAACTGGCGATACAGGCCATGGAGAACTGTTCTGTTCACAGATGAGAGTCAGTACTGTGTATCAACTGCAGATGGCAGAATAAGAATATGGCGACGATGTGGCCAGCGTTACACAGACCAATGTGTTATGGAAAGAGACTTGTGGGGAGGTACAAGCATCATGGCATGGGGTTGAATAGGCCTGAACCAGAGAGTGGGTCCTGTAGTGTTCAAAAACCTTGGCCCAGGGAGAGGAGGCGGCATCACAGCGGTGCGCTACATCGACCAAGCTCTCAGACCCAACGTCATACCACATTGCTCACGTCACCGGAACAACATTTTCCAGCATGATAACGCCCGGGCTCATACTGCCAGAGCTACACGGGACTTCCTACAGCAGAACGGTGTCAACATTATGCAGTGGCCAGCCCTTTGTCCTGATTTAAACCCAATTGAACATCTTTGGGATGAAATTCAGAGGAGATTGAATAATGTCATACCAAGGCCGAACACAGCCGATTTATTGCGTCAGGCCTTTCTCAGAGTGTGGTTCCAGGTGCCAATGGCCTTCATCAGTCAATTGGTGCACTCCATGCATAGACGCTGTGCTGCAGTTATTGCCGCTCGTGGTGGTCACACTAGATACCAAAGTCAAGGGTCTGAAAGGACTGCAAACGTTCACATAATGTCTTTAATTGTGCAGAGTTATTCATTGATGTGTCAGGATATTGTACACCCAAAAATGTTTTTGATCCGCTTATTATGTCAGTTTCTGTAACGATTTGATAACAGTGCCTATCTCATTTTGAATTCGTACTGACGTTTTTTATTGCTTCTGAGTATATTAAGATATATGCATATTTTATACAAAGATCCTCTTTCAACTTCTTTACTGTAACAATTGAAGAAACATATCACTTGTCATCTGTTTTGCACATTGTATAACCATAACATATTGAACCAAAAGTGTGACAGGTTCACACCTAAGAATATGTTAAGATATAAGTTATGTTATACAAAGATCCTCTTTAAACTTCTGATTTGTCTTTCCTGTAGCATTAAACGACTCATATAGTGACGAGATCAAGTCTGAAATAATACGCATTTTAAATAATGAATGACATCAACTGCTTGGATCACTGTGGAGACGGGAAGATTCATTCGCACATGGATTATCATGCAGGGGTCATCTCAAATCGTAGCTTTAATTGTTGGGCTGCAATTGGGTTTCATTGGTGTTCAATTTTCACTTTTTAGCGATAATTTTTATTTGAAAATTTCAATTACATAAGTTAGATAATAAAACATGTTCAGTTATTAATGATGGTGTATGGCTGACATGGATAAATGAAGTTTATATCAGCAAAAAAGCTTGCATTAAAACTATTAGTAAAAGAAAAACCGTTGAAAATAACTTTTATTAATTTCTAACTGAAAGAAATGTAAGTCTTTTTATTGAGACATCTAGAGGACTAAATATTATGATCTTACGAAGAACGTACAGGTAAATATTTTGCTATTTCAATGTAATATTGAGTGTTTCATGTGTATTTGACAGAAATTCACGTATCGGTCTTATTTCCGCCACTAAGTGAAAGGTGGCTTCATGAGTGAGTGATGTTCGTCTGTCTGTCTGTCCGTCCATCTGAACAATAACTTGAAAGTGATTAAAGATTCACTATGAAATTTAGGAAAAATATGACGCAAAATGTGAACAGGTAGATATTGTTTTAGGAAAATTCAAACAGATTTTAATTTGACGATCATAGTTTCAAATCGCTATTACTGGTATTACTTGTATTACAAGGGGGTATGCACATTAAATGAAACCCCCAGAACAAGAAAGGTTGGTTTCAACGGTAGTTAAGTTAACGCTCATCAAGCACCGCAAGTGCATTTGTTTCACTTTTCCAACAACTGCGCTTACCCACTTGTAATACAAACCAATAATAGCAATTTGAAATTATGATCGTTTGTTAAACAACTTTTATCCTAAGTTGAATAAAAATCTGAGATTTAAATGTTCAATTGGCAAGGTAAAATTACGAGAATTCGCAATCTTAATTTCACTTTATTTGAGTTACTTTTTTGTTTAAAGTGAAATTTGGTACGTTTTCACTGCAAACAGACTAATGACCTGTGTCATTATGCACTTTCTTACCAGTGCCAACCTTAACAATTGTACAATAAATTACAAATTGTTGAGCATTGAAAGAAATGGCGGCTGGTAGTATGGGCAAAGGTCAAGTCCTCAGTCAAGCTTTCAAAACATTTTATTTGGGACCAAGATATGCTCAGCTTTTTTATGAACACATCCCATCATCACTGTTTATGGGGATTAAAATCTTTGAAATCTCTATAGAAAGAGCATGTATGATTGTACCAAAAAAGCTACATTGACGCCTAAGGCTGAAGCTGCTGGAATATTGCTTGACGTAAACGGGATGATGTTGAATTATCCATTTAGGTTTTTGTCATTCTCTTTGCCAGTACTTCTGTTACCCATTTCCAAACACTGGGATTGTGCCACATGTGCCAGTGTACCAGGGCGGGGAATGTACAAACAACTACCAGCACATGGTACGGGTGTGAGATATTGCTCCAAGGAGTATTTATTTGTTGTTAATTCACCCTGAAACATTTATAGAGATAATGATATATTTATAGTACATATAATACAGTCATCAATATTACAACAGTTCATACTATTAGTCTTAAAAATCTTAGTCCAACCAATCTTCCCAAGTATATAGTGAGTGAGGTTAGTTTTACGCCTCACTCAGCAATATTCAAGCTATAAGGCGGCGGTCTGTAAATAATCGATTCTTGACCAGATAATCCAGTGATCAACAGCATGAGCATCGATCTGCGCAATTGGGAATCGATGACATGTGTCAACCGAGTCAGCGAGACTGACCACCCGATACTACAAGCATGGAATACTGAAGGTTCATTCTAACCCGGACCTTCACGGGTACCCAAGTATATAGCACGATATATGTTTAATTGATTATTCTAAGTGTAATAAGTTTCTGAATTTATCACAAATTGTAATCATATACTAAATGGGTAGAAGTTTACACTATCAAGTAATAGTTAAGAAAAAGTGCTTTTTTGGATAACAACTTCTTTGTTTTATTATGATGCGACGTTTCGGTATAGACCCTCACTCTTGCTTGACAACGGTACAAAAATCTATACCGAAATGTCGCATCACAATAAAATAAAGAAGTTGATATCCATAAAGTATCGTACTGTTTCTTATCATTCATCAACTTCTAAAATGCCAATCAGTCAGATGAGTCTGGCTCTGTGTTGCAACTAGTAAAATTATCGATGAGATAATGCTAAAAGCTGCAAAGAAAACCCGCAAACTGATCACTTATATATAAATTCGCGAGTTTATGTAACAGTTGTGTAATTATCTTATCTACTTTTGATACTTTCCCTACTGGAAGCAGGAGCGGGATTTAGAGTTACCTCCGCTTGCGCTTTGAATTACCTCCCTTCATTGACTTTGGACCGCTCATGCTGTTGGTTTGACTGTCATCATCTGGATACGTGATCGCCTTTGTGTGAGTATAATGAAAAGGATAACACAACACCTCATCCCCATATCACTATATATATACCATGCTCGATTTGTTGCAATTCATAACAAACTGTCATCCCAGTGAGTTGCATCGTGATATTTTATTTTTATGGTCAGCGACTCATTCTGTTTAGTCTATATGCAGACTTCATTTCTGCTCCTTCTTAGTGAACGCTTCTCAGTAATAAACCTGTCCTACCAAATATACAACTGGTATATGTTACATGTATCTGTGTTGTGTAATTGACAGTAGTGTGATAAGTATTCTTTATTCATGTAACGAACTGAGCTATCAATAATTGATTCCGTGATGTTAATACATAGGAATATACATAATATGCATTTAGCTTAGTCATGCAGAGAGCTGTAGAAATACACAAGATACGATTTCAGCGAGATTATGGCCTGACCATTTCTCACTTTTTTTCTCTCCAAGTAATTAAACCTGTTTAGAAATTAATTCCATTGCTTGTTTTAAAAGAATAACATTTCAGTGTGTATGGAGGGATGTTGAAGAGCATGGTATTGTGCCAGTAATAGTGTGTAATATCTGTGGAGCTGGGAAGAGTCCTAATTTACTACCTGACTGTTTCACTACCAATTAACCAAACTTTATCAATCACAGGATTGCTTGGTCCAGAGTCAGTTAATATCATGTCTTTGGAATATTGCTGAATGAGTTATTCACTCACTCATGCATGAGAGTATGCATAAATGCACATGTTAATCACATGTAAACTGATACACAGTGCTTTTTAGGAAGTGATGTTTCGGCCTCTTAATACTTGTCAGAGGGGTACACAAAGTATGACTACCAGTTTTCAGATTTCCATATTTGGTTGAAACTGCAGTACTTGGTGGAATGGATTAGATAGCTTGGTTTGTGCCTAACTCTGAGAGAGTGCGTGAGAATTCAGGATGGAACCCAAACCAATAGTCCTACAATCTGTACTTCTGTACTAAGAAAGTAATTCCAAATATTACATGTTACAAGTAATTTGCTTAAGATAACTTAACTAGATTCTTTGATCTACTTGGCTTCTAAAGGTCTATGCTGACAATGAAGACCCTAGCTGGCAAAGTGTGTATTGTCACCGGGGCAACACGTGGAATTGGGCGTGGCATCGCTCTACAGTTGGGTGAGGCTGGAGCCACAGTATATATTACAGGTAAGTGTGTCTAACTCCACTGGTTCAGCATGGCTAATAGTAATACTCACAGAACAGAAATTCAATCCTTGAAAACTGAGTAAGTGCTGTGCAATAGTCCCCCTCAGTAACTGATGGGTGATGGACCTCCTCAGTCAGCGTTCGAAATAATCGCCGGCCCAGAGGCCCAGCGCCGGTTGTTATTGTATCGGGCCGGCAGTTTCAAATATTTGCAGGCCCTTGTGGCCTTCAGTAAATTATCTGTCCATTTTCTTTTTTCAACTGGAATCTTTCCAATAATTTTTTTCTTTATTAACATTCGGGAATCGTCCATGATCCATCATGCTATGATAACTTACAGTTTCACTTCCTGGTATTTCAGTACTTTGCGCATGGGAATGTCAACACCAGTCTTTAACAAGAAAAAACTTCTCTCTGCGCCATAGGCTTTGCTAATTGATTTTGTAGAAACAGTGTGAAACTGTGTACAGGGTAGTCTATGTTGTTTTTATGGGCCTGCAGATTTCATTCAGGGCCTGCAGGCAGCAGCAGGCCCTGGTGGCCAAGTGGCAAATTCAAGTATTGCAAACACTGTCCTAAGTTGGGCAGATACTGAAGTAAGGAGAAGGTAAAAAGACCCAAAGTATATCAAATTGTTCATCAGTAAGTGCTGTGCGATAGGGTGATGGACCTCCTCAGTTGGGCTCAGTCCAGAGCCATTGTTGTTTGGTGTGACATTGCCACAGGGTATATATATATCTGTTTCAAATACTAATACTTTGACAGGCCGGACGCTAACAACTCCAAAAGATGCTGATGTGTCAGGGAGCCTTACAGATACTGCCACTGAGGTAGGTTGCTGCTGGAAAACATCAGGCGTGTACATTGAATTTACTGGAATTTACTGAATCATGAGTATGTAAGTGGTTAAGTTGCATGTTGAGAAGTTGACTTAAGTCAAGGTCTGGAAGTAAATGACTGAATCAGTCAAACTTTGGCAGTATTTCTGTCAAATAGTGATGGGAACAAGTGAAAGGATGTCTAAATAAATTGTGTTGTATTAAATAGTTGGACTTTGAGCATTTTAATTAAGTAGTTGATTCTGTTCTATTATACTTCCAAACCCTCTAATTTAATAATAACGTACAAGTTCCATTTCATAGCACTTATGATGTTGTGCTGCAGTAATCATGTATGAGTGATCTCCCCTGTGTAGGTTGAGGCACGAGGAGGCAAGTGCATCCCGGTGCAGTGCGACCACTCAAAGGATGAGGATGTGGAGAAGCTGTTTGAGCGAGTAGGTCGGGAACAGGATGGTCGGCTGGATGTCTTGGTCAACAACGCCTACGCTGCAGTCAGTGTGAGTCATGCCTGCACTTGCTCAGTTTAAAACCTCACTTATGTTTTGACTCTCACTTGTATGTTGTGGAGATTCTAACCAAATGTTTCATGCTTAGTTTTGTATTGTATAGACATCTCAGTGATTGTGTGAAATATGGTTCTGTTGATAGCCAATCAAGTCACACTTTGGCTCCACAATATTCATCAGATTTTGACTATATGACTTCTAACAACCAACAGCTATGTTGTATTCAGTTAGGTATGGTCCTCAAGACTTTAACAGCTTTGCCATCACTTGTCAATCTGTCATCTATTCTAGGACATTGCCAAGAACTTTAGAGTCCCATTCTGGGAGCAGGGGCAAGACATGTGGGATCGGGTGAACAACGTGGGGCTGAGGTCAGTATGGTGGTAACGATAATAATGATACATCTTCTCAATGTTGTTTCATAGAGATAATTTCACATCTGCTATTTCATTTTAATCTGATGCTAGTCTATACTGTCCATCCTGGACATGTCTGCTATAGAGAGGTCTGACTGTAACACTAGTCTATACTGTCCATCCTGGACATGTCTGCTATAGAGAGGTTTGACTGTAACACTAGTCTGAACTATCCATCCTTCACATGTCTGCTATAGAGAGGTCTGCCTTTAACACTAGTCTATACTGTCCATCCTTCACATGTCTGCTATAGAGAGGTTTGACTGTAACACTAGTCTATACCATCCATCCTGGACATGTCTGCTATAGAGAGGTCTGCCTGTAACACTAGTCTATACCATCCATCCTGCACATGTCTGCTATAGAGAGGTCTGCCTGTAACACTAGTCTATACTGTCCTTCCTGGACATGACTGCTATAGAGAGGTCTGACTGTAACACTAGTCTAAACCGTCCAACCTGGACATGTCTGCTATAGAGAGGTCTGACTGTAACACTAGTCTATACCGTCTATCCTGGACATGTCTGCTATAGAGAGGTTTGACTGTAACACTAGTCTATACCATTCATCCTGGACATGTCTGCTTTAGAGAGGTCTGACTGTAACACTAGTCTATACTGTCCATCCTGCACATGTCTGCTATAGAGAGGTCTGCCTGTAACACTAGTCTATACTGTCCATCCTTCACATGTCTGCTATAGAGAGGTTTGACTGTAACACTAGTCTATACCATCCATCCTGGACATGTCTGCTTTAGAGAGGTCTGCCTGTAACACTAGTCTATACTGTCCATCCTGCACATGTCTGCTATAGAGAGGTCTACCTTTAACACTAGTCTATACTGTCCATCCTTCACATGTCTGCTATAGAGAGGTTTGACTGTAACACTAGTCTATACCATCCATCCTGGACATGTCTGCTATAGAGAGGTCTGCCTGTAACACTAGTCTATACTGTCCATCCTGCACATGTCTGCTATAGAGAGGTCTGACTGTAACACTAGTCTATACTGTCCATCCTGGACATGACTGCTATAGAGAGGTCTGACTGTAACACTAGTCTAAACCGTCCAACCTGGACATGTCTGCTATAGAGAGGTCTGACTGTAACACTAGTCTATACTGTCCATCCTGCACGTCTGCTATAGAGAGGTCTGACTGTAACACTAGTCTGTACTGTCCATCCTGCACATGTCTGCTATAGAGAGGTCTGACTGTAACACTAGTCTAAACCGTCCATCCTGGACATGTCTGCTATAGAGAGGTCTGCCTGTAACACTAGTCTAAACTGTCCATCCTGCACATGTCTGCTATAGAGAGGTCTGCCTGTAACACTAGTCTAAACCATCCATCCTGGACATGTCTGCTATAGAGAGGTCTGACTGTAACACTAGTCTAAACCGTCCATCCTGCACATGTCTGCTATAGAGAGGTTTGACTGTAACACTAGTCTAAACCGTCCATCCTGCACATGTCTGCTATAGAGAGGTCTGCCTGTAACACTAGTCTAAACCGTCCATCCTGGACACGTCTGCTATAGAGAGGTCTGCCTGTAACACTAGTCTATACCATCCATCCTGCACATGTCTGCCTTAGAGAGGTCTGCCTGTAACACTAGTCTATACCATCCATCCTGCACATGTCTGCTATAGAGAGGACTGACTGTAACACTAGTCTATACTGTCCATCCTGGACATGACTGCTATAGAGAGGTATTGACTGTAACACTAGTCTATAACATACATCCATGGACATGTCTGCTATAGAGAGGTTTGACTGTAACACTAGTCTAAACTGTCCATCCTGCACATGTCTGCTATAGAGAGGTATTGACTGAAACACTAGTCTATACCATACATCCATGGACATGCCACGAGAAGTGAGTTATGAAGTTTAAAACAGTTAAACACCCTGCAGAAGAACTATCCTCAAATTCTTATAAATAGGTGCTAATTTGTTTTTAAATCCTGACCTACATGTCTTCAAGTGACTGACTATTTTCCCGTCAGGAACCACTACATCTGCTCTGTGCTGGCGTCTCGGATGATGGTACCACGAAAACAGGGCCTCATCATTAACATATCTTCAATCGGAGGACTGTCGTACCTCTTCAATGTGCCGTATGGTATTGGCAAAGAAGCTGTGAGTCGCAGGGAAGCATCTGTGTCATGTTTGTGTCACTGTCAGCTGTATCTACGTTACGTCAGCTCGTAATTTAAACAGATGTGGTGAAGATGTTTTCATGTTGTTATTGCCATAAAAAGCCTGGTTACATGTTACTGGTTACCTTATTTGTGCTCCTATGATCTGATTAACTAGTTTCTCATAAGTTATATTAAACTGAACATTCCCAAATGATAGTGATGCAGAGAGAAACTCTGTGTGTGTGTTAACATGTTCAAGTGTCTGATTCAGTGTGACCCGGATGGCCAAAGACTGCTCCGTGGAGCTAAAGCGACACAACGTGGCCTTTACCAGTCTGTGGCCAGGGGCAGTAAAGACAGAGACCGTCACACGTTTCATGGATGATGAATCAGAAAAAAACCAACTCCATGTTTGTAAGTGTTTCACTGCAGTAAATGAGTCTTTGTACCTGATGTGCCATAATTTATGCATATATATATCCTAAACAACAGTGTAGGAAATAACTGTAATAGTTAAAGGGGCAGTAACTAAACAAATGAAATATTCCATACTATCTGGACCAACATGAAGACACCAAGTCAAACAGTGAATTGAGCTTGCAGATTTTGTTGTGAGTTTCTGCTGTGAGCAGACTGTGTAATACCCAGTAGGTACGTCATCGAAAATCGAATCTGACACCTATGTTTTGATTTTCGATAACTATTATCACTATTTCGGTTCGATATTTGAATATCTATTTCAGTTGTTTCCACACATCGAAAACGTATGTTTAATCCAACTTGAGCAGTTTTGAGTGCTGAAATAAAGCGAAACATGATTGGTTGACACCGGGCTAATTATCCAATTAGCATTGTCATTAGTAGATATCGCCAAGTTGACGATGGATTTCACACAAAAAATGCCGACTCACTTGACCTCTGAGAGCTAAATGAAATCTGATGTTTTTACTTGTATGAAGAATCAAATTGAAAATGATCGAATCGAGGGCCCAATATCAAAAATCGAATTGAATCTGGGTCTGGGTTAAACTGTGCAGCCCTAGTAGACATGTCTTCCATGATCTTCAGTAATATGCACACCTCATCAGCTTGTGGTTTGCAGATGTAAACTGTGTGATACCTAGTAGACATGTCTTCCATGATCTTCAGTAATATGCACACCTCATCAGCTTGTGGTTTGCAGATGTAAACTGTGTGATACCCAGTAGACATGTCTTCCATGATCTTCAGTAACATGCACACCTCATCAGCTTGTGGTTTGCAGATGTAAACTGTGTGATACCAGTAGACATGTCTTCCATGATCTTCAGTAATATGCACACCTCATCAGCTTGTGGTTTGCAGATGTAAACTGTGTGATACCCAGTAGACATGTCTTCCATGATCTTCAGTAACATGCACACCTCATCAGCTTGTGGTTTGCAGATGTAAACTGTGTGATACCCAGTAGACATGTCTTCCATGATCTTCAGTAACATGCACACCTCATCAGCTTGTGGTTTGCAGATGTAAACTGTGTGATACCTAGTAGACATGTCTTCCATGATCTTCAGTAACATGCACACCTCATCAGCTTGTGGTTTGCAGATGTAAACTGTGTGATACCCAGTAGACATGTCTTCCATGATCTTCAGTAACATGCACACCTCATCAGCTTGTGGTTTGCAGATGTAAACTGTGTGATACCCAGTAGACATGTCTTCCATGATCTTCAGTAACATGCACACCTCATCAGCTTGTGGTTTGCAGATGTAAACTGTGTGATACCCAGTAGACATGTCTTCCATGATCTTCAGTAACATGCACACCTCATCAGCTTGTGGTTTACAGATGTAAACTGTGTGATACCCAGTAGACATGTCTTCCATGATCTTCAGTAACATGCACACCTCATCAGCTTGTGGTTTGCAGATGTAAACTGTGTGATACCTAGTAGACATGTCTTCCATGATCTTCAGTAACATGCACATCTCATCAGCTTGTGGTTTACAGATGTAAACTGTGTGATACCCAGTAGACATGTCTTCCATGATCTTCAGTAACATGCACATCTTAGGACAAAGTTTTTTGTTTACTCAGAGCAAATTCCAAGAAACCTTCAAGAATGGGGAGTCTGTGGAATATGCCGGCAAATGTGTTGTTGGTCTGGCTACAGGTGAGGGCGTGCTTGGTTCATTTAAATACCTTGCTTTTTTGTCAGGATAAACAAATTTCCGGACATCTGAATCTTGTAAGTTACCTCCCTTACCCAAATTCTATACTTCAGATTTTAAGTAGTATGTGTTTCCTTTCATGTAAATTTGGTCCAGTAGCCCCGGTCAGGAAAAGTGGGGATTCCATGGTCATGGGATTCTCACGCTGTAATTTGTCATTGCACAATTGCAGTATTTGAATCAGTAAAGAATTTAATCTATATCATGTAGCTACACTTTGGGTTGTAGACTAGTATCAAATTATCACTGTTTCTCATAATTATGAATAAAAAGTTATGTCTGTTTCTCTGGAGTGTAAGAATCGGTCCTCACAGTAACAACATCTCCTTTGTGTCACTGTGACGTGACTTTGGCTTCATGTACTGTGACATGTTTCAGATCCAAACATTATGAAGAAAACAGGGCGGATTTTCATATCAACAGATCTCGGTTATGAATATGGCTTTGTAGACATTGATGGTGAGAATTTCTAAACATTATTATTTTCAAGTACTTTTCTCTTGAAAGAATCAATGCATGAGTGTACATCAAGTTGTTATCAGCTGTATACCTGACAAATGTGTATCAGCTGTATACCTGACAAATGTGTATCAGCTGTATACCTGAGATGTGTGTGTCAGCTGTGTACCTGAGGTATGTGTGTCAGCTGTGTACCTGAGGTATGTGTCAGCTGTGTACCTGAAATATGTGTCAGCTGTGTACCTGAGAGATGTGTGTCAGCTGTGTGTCCTGTGTACCAGAGATATGTGTGTCAGCTGTGTACCTGAGATATGTGTGTCAGCTGTGTACCTGAGATATGTGTCAGCTGTGTACCTGAGATATGTGTCAGCTGTGTACCAGAGATATGTGTGTCAGCTGTGTACCTGAGATATGTGTGTCAGCTGTGTCTCAGAGATATGTGTCAGCTGTGTACCTGAGATATGTGTGTCAGCTGTGTACCTGAGATATGTCTGTCAGCTGCCTACCTGAGATGTGTGTCAGCTGTATACCTTAGATATATCTGTCAGCTGTGTACCAGAGATATGTGTGTCAGCTGTGTACCTGATGTAGGTGTGTCAGCCATGTATCTGTGAAGAGCTGAAGGTAATGCTGTTTCATTGTCACCAGGCAAGACCCCACCGAATCCCCGACAGATCAAATTCCTGGTGGCTTACTCTGGAGCCTCCTGGTTTGCAAGCCTGATTCCTGGATTTCTGAAGATTCCACTGTGGGTACTTGCCCTAGTGGGCAATAAGTTCTAGATGGGAACTGTATGTTCCTACAAAATGATTGTTTAACTTTGCTTAATCTCAAAAACAAGTACAACATGGAGTACTTGGAAGATACGTTGTTGTGTACATTGAATTACTGTTATATGCAGAAAACAGCTCTACATGTGCATCATTTTCTGGGACAAATAGATCTTCCAATCAAATTCCAGTGTGCTGGCAACGTTGAGTCAGTCTACGGTAATTACTGGTACATTATTTTATACTATCATTATTATCCCTTGCCATGAAGTGGGAGGGGGATATTGGTTTGAGATCTGTCCGTCCTTCCATCTGTCCGAGATGATGGGGACAGATTTTCTCAAAACACGTTACAGATAGGGAAACAAAATTTGATGTTTTCAGGACATGAATTTTATGGTGGAGTTCAAATAGGAACAGAACACTGTGGCAGGGGATATTGATGACCATGTCTTCTTGTTTTGTTTTGTCCTGTATATGTGGTATGTTTTCATATACAGTGATTTGAGTTATATTGTTTGATAACAATACTTTATGGTAATTTGTTCAAAGCCTCAGGTACATTTATTAACAAACCACAGCATGTTGGTGGTACCCCTTACATTAAGATCAAGAGTGCGTATGAGGTTGTGCCAAATGTCATGTTTCAATATGCTTTGTTCGACATAGGCTCTAATATTTATTTAAATATATTACATTATTAACCATCTTCACAACTATCTCAAAAGAATCAGTATTCATGATCATGAATCCACATTTGGCGTCTGTGAGGATGAAAGGGAGACAACTGTGTGGCTGACTGAATTTGTTTGGTGATTAACTGAAAACATTATTGTGTTTTCAGCGTAGAATCAAGTTACTTGAAGGTTTAGCATCCATTCTAAAGACCAAATTTTAAGGTCTCCTTAAAATTTGAACTACACGTTCTCTGGTCATGTTCATCATGGTTTCTACCTAGTCTGTATTGGTACACATACTTTAAATATTGTAGTTCCTGAATGCACTCTGTAACCTGGAGTCATACATATTACATTATTCAAAATGCTTACTGACAATAATGGAGAAAGCTGTACATTTCTATACAGAAATCAACTTCTGTGGCTGTGTGAATCAGAGGTGGTTAATGTAATTTGTAACCCCTGATTCACCAATTGGTATTGGGCATTTTTCCAACTTCATGGTAGATTTCTGATTAATCGTCATCCATTGTCAGCACAAACTGGAATGGTGGTGGTGTGTTGTTCCCACCAAATGTGGTGTTGATGTTAGTGCAAACTCAATGCAAAAATAAAACATTTACAGATGAGCAAACCTCAGTGCTGTGATTATATAGATGTATTTCTCTCTTCATTTACCAAAGTGTTTTTAAGCAAGATATACTTTCCAAAATACTTCTATGAATTTTTCATTAACATGAAACTGTTTACAATTAACATGATATAATGACATGATGAAATAATGCAATTTGACTTGTCTAGTCCCCTGCCATGATATATCACTAGAAGAGCCACTAGATACTCTAGTGAATTGGTCTGTACAATTCAGGTTGTAGCAAATGTCTTTGATGAACCGTACGTCAACTTGTTCACCTGCATGTGTTGGGGCTATCTATATCTGTGTTGGATACCTTAACATGGAGAAAGACTACTAACAAGTCAAAAACACTTGTGAGCAGCTGAAACAATCAAGTGATTAAAAGTATTTTTATAAACATGGTATCTGCTGCTTATTTGTGGTGACATTTCTTGCACATTTGGATGTGAGAAACATATATGTCAGCTCTAATTCCAGGTCAGTGGTTGGTTACTCAAGGCTGATGACCTCAGGTCAGATTATGAAGGACTACTTTCCAGGTTGTAATTCATTGATTAGAAGGTTGTACTTAGGTCTATGTTGAAAATTGGCGTGTTTGCACAAATTCATAACATGTTATGAATGGAATATTCATTTTCTAAATCCATATACAATCACAGTTCTCAAATAATATCCCCCAAAATGGAATATCCCCTACTTTGTTTGAGTAGCGTATATCCTGGAGTTGATGTTTCCCTACCTTGCCTGTATGTTACAAACAGGCTGCTGTGATAGATTAGATATGCTGACTATTGTGTAAATCAACAGTCACTCATCTGAATCACAACTGTCAGTAGAGGAAGGACAAGAAACATGTTTGATTTCAGCTTTATTAGTCTTATATTCTACAGCAAGTTATTGCAGCTGGCTGCTGGCGGTGTGAATCTCCATGTAACAAGGCAAGTCGCAGCTTGCACAACATCAACACTAACAACAGTAACTGTACACAACTAGCAACATTCTCAGTGTAGTACTGTCTTGGGGAGGGGAGGGTCGCTAGGGCTGGGGCTACGTATACTGAGGGGCAGCCATGCACTTGGCAACTGTCATGTCCATCTGCAGCCAGGTACTCCACGTATCTACCGACACGTTTGTCTTGTTGGTTTACTGAATGTTTGGAAGAGTTAGAAAACACCAATTTTGGCAATATCTAGACTCTAATCATAAATCAATCCAAATATTCATGCAAACAGTGTTTTCTTGTTGGAAGAAAACTAGAATAACCATGAATTGCTGATCTTGGAATTCAGTTAGACCAGTCACATATTTAGCCAACACACATACTTTTCATGAGATTGGCCCCAGCTCAGGCTCCCCAGCCCTAGGAGGAGAAATATCTATTGACATGTCTTAGACTTACAGTTCTCTTTAAATACAAAGTGGTAGGCTAAAGATGTCTTTTGAGTTTCATTTCCTCAAAACAAAGGGGCATTCTTGTTGTACAGTGATGTTAAATTAAGCCTTTGTTAACCACTTGCCAATATACCAACCATATGGGTTATCTGTGTGAACCACTTGCCAATATACCAACCATATGGGTTATCTGTGTGAACCACTAGCCAATATACCAACCATATGGGTTATCTGTGTGAACCACTTGCCAATATACCAACCATATGGGTTATCTGTGTGAACCACTAGCCAATATAACAACCATATGGGTTATCTGTGTGAACCACTAGTCAATATACCAACCAGATGGGTTATCTGTGTGAACCACTAGTCAATATAACAACCATATGGGTTATCTGTGTGAACCACTAGCCAATATAACAACCATATGGGTTATCTGTGTGAACCACTAGCCAATATAACAACCATATGGGTTATCTGTGTGAACCACTAGCCAATATAACAACCATATGGGTTATCTGTGTGAACCACTAGCCAATATAACAACCATATGGGTTATTTGTGTGAACCACTAGTCAATATAACAACCATATGGGTTATCTGTGTGAACCACTAGCCAATATAACTATATGTATAAAATAAGGGGCCGTAACAACCATATGGGTTACCTTGCAGAGACAATGAGCCATTTTACAATTATCATTATCAATTATTATCATTTCAGTGCAAGGGCACCAGTCCACCCCAGTCTGACCTCTCCCTAATGTGAAGGCATATTTGTGAAAAGATAATGAACCCATATTTGAAAGTGGAATAAACTTATTTCAGGCAGTGGAATGGAATGAAATGGTATTGGCCCTTTATTACTTAAGCTGCCCTTCCCAGAGCCTTGAGTACCGGAAAGTTGTAGTGACACATAAATTTCTTCATCAATGTTACCTTTGTTGTTTCTGTATATGGGGATCCTAATTAGTTAAAGTATATGATGCAGTTTGCCACTCTGACAACAGTAAACAAGAATGCCCTAAGACTGGTCCAGTATGTTTACAAGCACATCTGCATTGTGGGGTTAGGATTTAGCTTACAAAGAAAAGTGAATGTTGAGCTGAATGCAGCTAATATATGAATGATAAGACTCAATGCTCCAAGTATCAACAATGTGCTTAACACACAAAACATAAGAAGCATATGACAACAAAATAGGAGAACATGTTCACTCAACAAATATCACTAAACTTGTATAAATACAGGCATATGTAATAACACAATAAGAAAACCTTCAGTGCCATAAATGGCAAGTAACAAATGATCATACCAGTAAAATCCAGAATACCAGTAACAGGAGTAACAATATCATTAACAGATTTCACATCAGTTGCTTTGTGTCAACACAAGGGAGAAATATACCAGTGTCCGCTGGTCAACTTATCTCATCAACACAGTAGCATGTCAGCTGAAACCAACTGCATGTTAACTGACACCAGTCAACAGCATGTCAACTGACACCAACTGCTTGTTAACTGACACCAACTGCTTGTCAACTGACACAACTGCAAGTCAACTGACACAACATGTTAATTTACATAACACCATGTCAACAGAAACCAACTGCATGTTAACTGACACCAGTCAACAGTATGTCAACTGACACCAACTGCTTGTTAACTGACACCAACTGCTTGTCAACTGACACAACTGCAAGTCAACTGACACAACAGCATGTTAATTTACATAACACCATGTCAACTGAAACCAACAGCATGTTCACTGACACAACTGCTTGTTAAGTAACACAACAGCATGTCAACTGACACCAACTGCTTGTCAACTGACACAACTGCAAGTCAACTGACACAACAGCATGTTAATTTACATAACAGCATGTTAACTGAAACCAACAGCATGTTAACTGACACAACACCATGTCAGAAAGATACCATAACAACGAACAGCACTTCAAATGCAGCCATGAGTACGTCCAATCCATATCTGTTGCATGTCAAATTCAACCAACAGCATGTCAACTGGAATCAACAATATGTCAACTGCTGTCAGGCAGACAGTGTTTAATTTCTAGCACATCAATTGCATAATCTGTAAAGATCATCAGAGCTACAGAGTTAACAGGGCATGCCAAACCTTTGTCTGGCAATTACTCCTAGATGGACAGACCTGTGTCTGGCGGGTAATACCAGATGGACAGACCTGTATCTGGTGGTTAATACAGACCTGTATCTACCAGATGGACAGACCTGTGTCTGGCGGGTAATACCAGATGGACAGACCTGTATCTACCAGATGGACAGACCTGTATCTGGTGGTTAATACAGACCTGTATCTACCTGATGGACAGACCTATCTGGTGGTTAATACAGACCTGTATCTACCAGATGGACAGACCTGTGTCTGGCGGGTAATACCAGATGGACAGACCTGTATCTACCAGATGGACAGACCTGTATCTGGTGGTTAATACAGACCTGTATCTACCAGATGGACAGACCTGTATCTGGTGGTTAATACAGACCTGTATCTACCAGATGGACAGACCTGTATCTGGTGGTAATACAGACCTGTATCTACCAGATGGACAGACCTGTATCTACCAGATGGACAGACCTGTATCTGGTGGGTTAATACAGACCTGTATCTACCAGATGGACAGACCTGTATCTGGTGGTTAATACAGACCTGTATCTACCAGATGGACAGACCTGTATCTACCAGATGGACAGACCTGTATCTGAAGACAGACCTGTATCTACCAGATGGACAGACCTGTATCTGGCGGGTAATACCAGATGGACAGACCTGTATCTGTACGGGTTAATATCTACCAGATGGACAGACCTGTATCTACCAGATACAGACCTGTATCTACAGACCTGTATCTACCAGATGGACAGACCTGTATCTACCAGATGGACAGACCTGTATCTACCAGATGGACAGACCTGTATCTGATGGTTAATACAGACCTGTATATACCAGATGGACAGACCTGTATCTGACGGTTAATACCAGATGGACAAATCTGTGTCTTGCAGCTGATATCAGATAGACAAACCGGCCCTGCACAGGGAATGCCAGCTAGTGGTAAATGCTAGAACATTTTGAGGTGTGCTCTCCAGTTGATAACATTAATTGTTCACAGTAAAAACCCAACAAGAAGACATTTGGAGGTCGCATTTTGACAACCCAAGTAGGGTTTTAACTTTGGTATTGAGAAGTCCAAGTCAACATTAAACATTCAACCCATTACTTTGATAAGACGAAGAATCCTGATTTGTGGCACTGTGTTAATTCTATAGCTCTAATGTGGTCTAGGTACATGAAATGTCTATATATGCTCAAATCACAGTATCTGTCTAGTAATGTCTATATATGCTCAAATCACAGTGTCTGTCTAGTAATGTCTATATATGCTCAAATCACAGTATTAGTTCTAGTAGTTTCTATATGTGCTCAAATCACAGTATCGGTCTAGTAGTGTCTATATATATATATATATGCTCACATCAAAGTATTAGTTCTAAGAACATTATTTGTACATGCTCTGTACAATGTCACATTAACAACTCTTTTTAAGTTAAAAATGGCAGTTTGTCACTATGCAAGCGGAACTCTCAATTTACAAGCCACCTATGCAAGCCTGCCACCTGGCTGATGCTGATCTAGGTCCAGCACCACTGTGTGTACAACACAGACAAACTACCATGTTCTAAACTGCTGGAAAAACTAACGCACAAACAATCATCAACTTAATATACATATGCTCCATGATTGGTATTAAAGGTTAACTGACAAACAGTCTTTATGACAAAAAGGGAAAGTTGTTTCTGAGAAAAGTCATTTTGGAGCCTGGACGTCTGACGTGGTTACAAATATCGACATCAAGCCAAAGGGAGACTACTCAAAGAGATTAACTATGTGAAGTTCAAGATGATGAAGGAAGCTGTCTCCATAACGCCCTGTTTGTCTCCTCACTTCAGAATAGTTCAGATTTTGTACACACAGCTCAGCATAGAGGCACCCTACCTTCGCGTAGGCCAATTAATTTTACTGCAATCTGTGATCAACAAGCCACAGTACACAAGTAATTGTCAAGGTCTTATCAGGGCTATAGTGGAGAAGACATTCAGAAAGTACTTCCATTTCAAAGAGCACAGGATACTCATGATCACTGATATCACAATGAATCTGATGCCTAAACTCTAGCCTAAACATACTTCAATAATAATATCACTGTCCCAACGACACATACAAGTTTAAGTACACAGGTTTGTGAATATGTGACTAATTTCTTTCATACAAGAGTAAAATACTAAACTATATTGTACTATTTGTATGTCGTTCAAAATCTACTCAATACTATCTACTTTCACGATTGTCCTAATCCAAGTGTGAATGAGACTGCTATATCCCTATGTTGTAAGCTATGTACACCGTGGAACAAGTCAACAATGAGGCTGGACATGATGCACTACCCACACAAGGGGGTAATTCAATATTTGGCTGACAAAGTGAACATATTATGGTTGCGCTACACAATGTGTGAACATCTCCCTGTCACATCATCAATTTGTGGAAACAATGGTAACAAATAAGAAGAAAGTGAATGTAATGAAACAAGTCCTTCCACATGTGGATTGCTCATCACGGCAACTGGGATCTCCATGAGGTGCCTGGGCATCCCTTGTTCTGTGTTTTTCGTCACCCCAGGAGTACTTCACTTCATGATGGATTTCCCTCCCATTGCTCAGTGTCGGTACAGCTCGTGTTCTTGTCACGTGGACTCTCTCACAATTAGGGCTGGGACGGGTAGGAAAAATGGAATCGAGTACCCGCATGTACTTACCCCAATCGGAATCGAGTACCCGGAAAAGTAAGGAATACAGCGCTTCTGTCAACTTTCTGAATATTCAATCACGATTTGACAGAAATTATTATAGAAAACTTATAAGGGTGGCAATAAGACATTAAAAATTACCTCAAGCTATATAATTTACGTCTGTTTAACCAATATAAAGAGTAACACCATTACTTACATTGCTCGTTAAAATAAACTTTTCGTTCCTACTGTTACTTTAACTTGACTACTCACTGCTCATTCGCAGATAAATTACAGTCGTTAATAATAACCTCCATTAATCGGACATTACCAATGATGTAAATGTGTTTTACGTCAATAATGAAAATTGCAAGTTATTATCTGCCCTTGTCATTACATAGTTCTCTCCCTTTCCAGGTACTCGATTCCTAGAAATAATACTCGATTCCATCTGTACCCGACCCGGATTCGAGTACCCGTGTACCCGTCCCAGCCCTACTCACAATCATATACACATACTTCTACTTCAGCAGATGTGTGCTTGAATGTTAGATCCACACAGTACATTCTAAACAAAATATTCTTTTTAAAACCTGAAACATAAATCCCTTTTACCAGACACTCTTGCCATATGGAACAATGTTACAAGCAAATCTACAAATATTTATACTGTACAAATAAATGTGAAATATGAAACTGCCATTCCTTAAGGTGTACACACCCAACAAACGTAAACAGTAGAAGTAAATGGTGTTCTAATAAATATATGATTCAGCTATACAAATGACCCCTTAAGTGTCCCTCTTGCCTTCTGTCAGCATATATCAATGAAAACAAACAACCCTGACACCCAACATCCATCAAACACCATCAACCATTTTCTACAAAATGACAAAACGAAGGCAATCTTCATATGCTTCCTGCTTCACCCAGTCAACAACACTGAACAGGGTTTAAGATGGGACATGGATGGTTCATGTGACTGAGGGAATGGCTATAACTCGTACTTTGAATAAAAGCAAGTTAAATTGTTTCAGTCATGGAGAACATAGACTGAGGCATGTTAACATAACATAAATAGGAAAATATACCTCCTCCTCCTCCTCCTCCTCATCATCATCATCATCATCATCATCATGAATCAAAATGATAAGTTTCCTCCTGTCAGTTTGTAGATAATTGACAAATCAACAAACCAAAGCCATCTACAGGTTTTCATTCAAATCAACCCGGTTGGGTCACCAGCCATCAATCTAACACTGGACTTGTACAGTGTCAGCCAGGATCAGTAGCTACCTTAATCAAATTTGAAATCTGGGCAATTTCAGAAACATAAATGTTTGAACAGATGTCACGGACAAATTAATATTGAAGTGTTCCCTGTGCAGCCTATGTCCATGCTCCTGCAAGTATGGTCACTCCGGTGGTGTGGCGCCCTCTCATCCCTGTACAACCTGCTCACTGCTAATCTATGCACTAGTTTCTAAGGTATTCCTACACAGGCCGTATCACACAAATGTCAATGCTCTTTTGATTTTTCCACATTATCCCGCAGCATCTGTACTTGCTCTGGAAAAAAATAACGTAAGTAAGTAATGATCAAAACCACAAACCCATATATGTTCCATATATACTGTTCCATGCTTCCTGCAAGTCAAAAGCAGGAACCTCACTGGTGTTGGTCATTAACACAAATGGAAACATTCTACCAACTAGTTACAACTGAGAAAATATCAATTTGACATTTAACTGAATTCAAACATTACTGACACTTTAAACATTTTTTAAGTCCAATCACTTCCACAGAAAATTGGATTTTTCCAAATTTTAATGTGTTTTCAAGGTAGATTAATTTTCTGGAAAAAATGCCTACATAGCTGGACCAATCTTAATCATTTTGAATGCAATTTAAGCAGAAACAAATTCCTTTGAACAAATATCAGAGTTTGCACATCAACCTTGAGATAAACTCTTGTCTGGGTTCAACCTATTGAATGTGGTTGCAACCTCATCACACACTCACCTTCCCGGAGATTGGCTATTATAGACTGTTTCCGAACAAACTCCAGGCATAAATCTTTGCTGAGTCCAAAAGCTCTCATGTTGCAGGTGAATGTTCTGTAACATAATTGTCAACTCAGAAATTGATACATCTATATATACTGAACAGCAAAAGAAAAGCAAGTTTCGATAAAAATGAAATCGCATAAAGTAAGCATTTACGTTTATGTCTTCTATTTAAAAACTTGACAAAAAAAAAAGAGATGCGTTTCTTGTGCTGTTCATTATAAAGACATATTCATTATACCAGTACACATCCTGGTTCAAATTTCAGTTACTTCATTATCTGCCCATGATGTGACAGGCTGCCACATGGCCTTATCCATACTTCTCAAGTCAGGATAGCACGACGAGGATAGCAGGATACCCTGCAGGAAAATGTTTCCAAGATGACTCAAAAAAGAAGATGAAACATTTACCCAAGTTGACCAAATGTGATATTTTCTTGAAAGTGCCGGTCATCAGTTCTGGCATCTTTTGGAGCCTCTCTGAAACACAGCCAATATAATTCTCAGATCCATGTCAAACACAGGACCAATTAGGTCTTGAAACAGACACTTTATATTGTATGCAGTTCTAAATGGGCCTATCATAAAGATGATCCTTTTGCACCCACATGAATTGTCAAATTTGGAGGTTAATAATTTATATAATTTTTCTTGAACTTCGTCAAATAATTAGTTGTATTTTGCCCTTTAATTAAACTATATAACAGCTGTGACTCATGATGGTGTGTGACAGGAGTGTAGGACGTTTCCCCATCAGGACAATTCCCCACTAGGACAATTCCCCACATTTCCCCATCTTGACATTTCCCCACACCTGTGTTGTAACCAGTAGGACGATTCCCCACACCCATCACAAATTTGTAGTACAATAGATGCGATGGGATTATGTAATCTGTGCATGATGTGTATTCACTTATTAGAGGCGATGGAATTAACTAATCTGTGCATGATGTGTATTCACTTATTAGAGGCGATGGAATTAACTAATCTGTGCATGATGTGTATTCACTTATTAGAGGCGATGGAATTAACTAATCTGTGCATTATGTGTATTCACTTATTAGAGGCGATGGAATTAACTAATCTGTGCATTATGTGTATTCACTTATTAGAGGCGATGGAATTAACTAATCTGTGCATTATGTGTATTCACTTATTAGAGGCGATGGAATTAACTAATCTGTGCATTATGTGTATTCACTTATTAGAGGCGATGGAATTAACTAATCTGTGCATTATGTGTATTCACTTATTAGAGGCAATGGAATTAACTAATCTGTGCATTATGTGTATTCACTTATTAGAGGCGATGGAATTAACTAATCTGTGCATTATGTGTATTCACTTATTAGAGGCAATGGAATTAACTAATCTGTGCATGATGTGTATTCACTTATTAGAGGCAATGGAATTAACTAATCTGTGCATTATGTGTATTCACTTATTAGAGGCAATGGAATTAACTAATCTGTGCATTATGTGTATTCACTTATTAGAGGCAATGGAATTAACTAATCTGTGCATTATGTGTATTCACTTATTAGAGGCGATGGAATTAACTAATCTGTGCATTATGTGTATTCACTTATTAGAGGCAATGGAATTAACTAATCTGTGCATTATGTGTATTCACTTATTAGAGGCAATGGAATTAACTAATCTGTGCATTATGTGTATTCACTTATTAGAGGCAATGGAATTAACTAATCTGTGCATTATGTGTATTCACTTATTAGAGGCAATGGAATTAACTAATCTGTGCATGATGTGTATTCACTTATTAGAGGCAATGGAATTAACTAATCTGTGCATGATGTGTATTCACTTATTAGAGGCAATGGAATTAACTAATCTGTGCATTATGTGTATTCACTTATTAGAGGCAATGGAATTAACTAATCTGTGCATTCACTTATGTGTATTAACTAATCTGTTAGTATTCACTTATTAGAGGCAATGGAATTAACTAATCTGTGCATTATGTGTATTCACTTATTAGAGGCGATGGAATTAACTAATCTGTGCATTATGTGTATTCACGATTATTAACTAATCTGTGCAGATGTGTATGTATTCACTTATTAGAGGATGGAATTAACTAATCTGTGCATGATGTGTATTCACTTATTAGAGGCGATGGAATTAACTAATCTGTGCATTATGTGTATTCACTTATTAGAGGCGATGGAATTAACTAATCTGTGCATTATGTGTATTCACTTATTAGAGGCGATGGAATTAACTAATCTGTGCATTATGTGTATTCACTTATTAGAGGCGATGGAATTAACTAATCTGTGCATTATGTGTATTCACTTATTAGAGGCGATGGAATTAACTAATCTGTGCATTATGTGTATTCACTTATTAGAGATGGAATTTAACTAATCTGTGCATTATGTGTATTCACTTATTAGAGGCGATGGAATTAACTAATCTGTGCATTATGTGTATTCACTTATTAGAGGCAATGGAATTAACTAATCTGTGCATTATGTGTATTCACTTATTAGAGGCTGATGGAATTAACTAATCTGTGCATTATGTGTATTCACTTATTAGAGGCAATGGAATTAACTAATCTGTGCATTATGTGTATTCACTTATTAGAGGCAATGGAATTAACTAATCTGTGCATTATGTGTATTCACTTATTAGAGGCAATGGAATTAACTAATCTGTGCATTATGTGTATTCACTTATTAGAGGCAATGGAATTAACTAATCTGTGCATTATGTGTATTCACTTATTAGAGGCAATGGAATTAACTAATCTGTGCATTATGTGTATTCACTTATTAGAGGCAATGGAATTAACTAATCTGTGCATTATGTGTATTCACTTATTAGAGGCAATGGAATTAACTAATCTGTGCATTATGTGTATTCACTTATTAGAGGCAATGGAATTAACTAATCTGTGCATTATGTGTATTCACTTATTAGAGGCAATGGAATTAACTAATCTGTGCATTATGTGTATTCACTTATTAGAGGCAATGGAATTAACTAATCTGTGCATTATGTGTATTCACTTATTAGAGGCAATGGAATTAACTAATCTGTGCATGATGTGTATTCACTTATTAGAGGCAATGGAATTAACTAATCTGTGCATTATGTGTATTCACTTATTAGAGGCGATGGAATTAACTAATCTGTGCATTATGTGTATTCACTTATTAGAGGCAATGGAATTAACTAATCTGTGCATTATGTGTATTCACTTATTAGAGGCGATGGAATTAACTAATCTGTGCATTATGTGTATTCACTTATTAGAGGCAATGGAATTAACTAATCTGTGCATTATGTGTATTCACTTATTAGAGGCAATGGAATTAACTAATCTGTGCATTATGTGTATTCACTTATTAGAGGCAAATGGAATTAACTAATCTGTGCATTATGTGTATTCACTTATTAGAGGATGGAATTAACTAATCTGTGCATTATGTGTATTCACTTATTAGAGGCGATGGAATTAACTAATCTGTGCATTATGTGTATTCACTTATTAATGGAATTAACTAATCTGTGCATTATGTGTATTCACTTATAGGAGGCTTATGGAATTAACTAATCTGTGCATTATGTGTATTCACTTATTAGAGGCAATGGAATTAACTAATCTGTGCATTATGTGTATTCACTTATTAGAGGATGGAATTAACTAATCTGTGCATTATGTGTATTCACTTATTAGAGGAGGATGGATTAACTAATCTGTGCATTATGTGTATTCATTTATTAGAGCTGTGATGGAATTAACTAATCTGTGCATTATGTGTATTCACTTATTAGAGGCGATGGAATTAACTAATCTGTGCATTATGTGTATTCACTTCATTAGAGGCAATGGAATTAACTAATCTGTGAGGTATTCACTTATTAGAGGCGATGGAATTAACTAATCTGTGCATTATGTGTATTCACTTATTAGAGGTGATGGAATTAACTAATCTGTGCATTATGTGTATTCACTTATTAGAGGCAATGGAATTAACTAATCTGTGCATTATGTGTATTTATTAGAGGCTATGGAATTAACTAATCTGTGCATTATGTAACTTATTAGAGGCTAATCTGTGCATTATGTGTATTCACTTATTAGAGGCAATGGAATTAACTAATCTGTGCATTATGTGTATTCACTTATTAGAGGCAATGGAATTAACTAATCTGTGCATTATGTGTATTCACTTATTAGAGGCGATGGAATTAACTAATCTGTGCATGATGTGTATTCACTTATTAGAGGCGATGGAATTAACTAATCTGTGCATTATGTGTATTCACTTGTTAGGGATGTGTGAAGCCCATTTCTGGTGTCCCCCGACGGGATGTTGCTGGAATATTGCTAAAAGCGGCGTAAATTTATCCGTACACCATGTTACAGTACAGAGGCATCTGCCTTCAGCTTCCAGTCTGCCCATGTCGAAGAACTGACATAAAAGCTTTCTGAATTGGATGGTCAGCCTGCTGACTTGGTTGACACATGTCATTGTATCCCAATTGTGTATGTCAATCACTGCATCGTCTGGTCCAAATTTGATTATTTACAGACCACACTCATATACCTGGAAATGTTCTGAATGCGGCTTTAAACAACAAACAAGTAAAACCAAACTTGGTTAACCCTTATGAATTAAAAAAATGTTGTGATGAACATTGCCGTAAAACTGGATCGCCATTGTGGATTGGATCCTATCCAGGTAAGGATAACTTCCCTTTGATTTCTTTAAAAAAATTAATCTAAGGGGGTCTGTAACACATCACCAAGTGAAATAGGAAATGGCTAACACAACCCTGAGGGAATGTATACACCTATAATTATAGGTCCTATGATGAGACTAAAGTTGTTGCTGTATCTCAATTCAATACTCAAGGCTGTGGGGTAGCCTAGTGGTTAAAGCGTTTGCTCATCACACCGAAGACCCGAGTTCGATTCCCCACATGGGTACAATTTGTGAAGCCCATTTCTGGTGGCCCCGTTTATCCGAACCTCAGATATCCGGAAAACTCGCCTTCCGAATGAAAATTTCTCAAAACGAATTCACATTGTTGTAAAATTACTCACTTATCCAGAAATCCAGTTTCTGTAACTGGATGGTCATTTTCACATACAAAATGCAAAATTATATGCCTTTTTTCTCATATATCCGGATGGCTGAGCACCTGTCAGTATGTTTACACACGCATTTTACAGAGTGGCCTTGTGTGCCCTAACATAAAAGAAGTCGGTAGTCTTTGAAGCGTGAGAGGATTAATTTAGTGTCCGAGTGCTTTAACGTTATAATAGTTCAAGGCGAAAGTGTGCTTTATTACACTATACATGGTGGTAGAGCGAACTGTATTTCTTTTCTAAGATGCCAAATTTAATATTTTCTAAGGATAATTACGATTAATTTAAGGCAGAAAACAAACGACGGTGTCGGTGACCTAAATTAAGAATCCTCGCACAGGGCTAACTGGCGCGC